ATTAGCTGCTTAAAAGAGACTGGGGGACAGAGACTTTTAAAACTGACATGTTAAGCCACTACTAATTAGAAATCAATCAAAAATGAACAGAGCACTTCTTTGAAATGATGATGATTCAATTTACCCACAGATCAGTAGGAGCATACTTAGTTGGTAGTATGAGTTTGACTGGAATGCTAAGTGTTTTAACATTATGCCATAAAATACTGGTATCTTCTTTTCATAATCACATTCATGCACAAGTTATTTTTTTCATGGAGTGTCTGCATATAATTTAGGAGTTCTCATTTATTTAGCCAAAATTCAAGAGGAGATTTATGGATGAACATCTTTCGCTCCATTCAAACTCTAAATGATGGGAGTCTTTTTATAGTCTCCCTTTTAATGGACATCAGACACATGGGGCATGCTCTTGTTCTGAAACCTCTTTCAATATTTTACACTATAATATCCTTTAATGGGTTTATTTCTCATAAACTGGCATTTACTTTGCAAATTCAGGAGCAGTTCTTCTTTACATAAGATACTCACTATTTTTTTTTCTTCTAGCAAACTTCAATAACTAGGAGTGATTTAGAAAGCTTCCTGATAGTGATGCTTCTCACAGGAAAACAGTGGTTTTTCTTTTATTTTTAATCAAATGGATGCGACTAGCACAAAACTGTTCATGAGAAGCTTGTCTAGAAGAATGATTTGATTCTTTGTTTTGTAAAATTAGTCTTTGTGTTTCTTACAAAATACACTTGAATTTCATTCTTTTAGAATCATAATTGTAAACATACTTCACTTTCTTTTTGTTGCTCATATATAAACATTTTGTCGCACAGTGTTTAATAAACTTTTTTAAAGTATGACTAGGGAACATGTTATTCTTTTATAACTATGCATCTACTATATAGCAATATATATTTTGACAGGTATTATGATTAAGAAATATAACACCAAAGTTAAATTTATAGGCATATATAAATATAAAGATTTATATCCATGTGTTTTGTTAAGGGGAATATTTTCCAAAATACTATCCATCCTACAATGTAGCTCATATGTGATGCCATAGGAAGCAGAAGCATGAACAACCACTAGTATTCAAAGGATACATCAAAACTCTATTTATTGCATGAAAATTTTAATTTAATTTTAAATTTTTATTTATTTATTGAAGAAAAACATACATGTATACAATTTATCTTGGTCATATCCCCCTCTCACTCACTCCATTAATCCTCCCAGGATCCTCCCCAGTTCACTGTAGGCAGTAACACCAGTGGACTGATAGTTCTAAGGGCTATCAGCAAAGCAGGTTGAGCAAGCCATGAGTAGCAAGCTATGAGAAACAAGCTGATATGCATCATTATTGCTTCATAAGTTCTCTATCAGTTTCTGCCTCCAGGTTCCTACACTGAATTTCTATTGTGATTTCTCTCAGTGATGGAGTGTGACATGAGACTTAAGAGAATAAATTAACCTTTTACTTCCCATTATACTTTAGGTTATGGTGTCTTATCACAGCAGTAGAAGCCATAACTAAGACGAAGATAAGAACTAGATTGTGGAGTTTCTTTGTGGTGTAAACACACAAATATGCGCAATTGCTAGTGCAAATGTGACTTTGTCAAGGATGTCAAGTGCCCTGCTTTATCACTCTTCAAGTTGTTCTACTGAGACAGGGGCTCTCAATGATCCTGAGCTGAGCTGTTCTACTGAGACAGGGGCTCTCAATGATCCTGAGCTGAGCTGTCTTTCAGCAAGGCCTAGTGACCCCCCCCCACAAGTCTCTATCTCCTACCCATTACACAGATGTTACCATACCTGCTTCTTCTGTGGGTGCTGAGGATTTCAACTCATATGCTTATGATTGCTCAACAGGTGCTGTTCCATACAGAGCTACCTCCCTAGACCATCTTTATTATCAAGCTTACTATTTCTTGTCAGGAAAACCTCAACATTTATAGTTACCAGAGCTGATTGGATATATATTGGCTTCACCCAGAACATTAAAATTACATGATAAAACACATAGCTGTACTGCTTTGTATAGTTCCAGAAGTATTTTTCTCATAGCAGAGCCAACAGTTTTGTTATGAGCTTTTAATCCATTGGCCTGAGAAAAGGCCATATTTCAATTTACAGTTTGAGACTGAACCCTGAACTCATGACCAATTATATTCTCTTTGGAGATGTATGAATGAAAGAGAAGAGAACACAAGAGATAGTGAGAGAGAGAGAAAGAGAGAGGGAGGAAGGGAAGGAGGAAGGAAGAAGGAGGGAGAAAGAAGAGAGAAAGAGAGGTAGAGGTAGAGGGAGACAGAGAGGGAGAGGGAGAGGGAGAGAGAGAGGGAGAGGGAGAAGGAGAGGAAAAGGGATAGAGAGACGGAGAGAGAGAGACAGAGAGCTCATCACTTATACAGGTTACTTAGCTCCTGATATCACTCAATAATGCTTTGCTGAGACCCTGTTCTTAGGATCAGAATGCCGTATATTCACACTGTTGGGATTGATAACTTTTCTTAATGAAGAATGGGCAAAATTAATATCTTTACTCAAATATTAAATCAAAGTAGAAATTTTAAAAGCTGATATCCTTAGCTGTCTAGGATCCTTCACTAATAATTTTCAATTTCTCTCTCTTTTTTTCCCTTCCACACAGAGGTTTACTAAGTAGCCAAAGATGATATAGGCAGTACTAGGTAACCCAGGCACATCTGGAACCCACACTCTTTTTACATCCACCATCTGAGTGCTAAGATTTGAGGCATTTAATGCCACCCATATCCCTTTTGGATAAGTTATTCAATGATTAACAGTACCAGGAAGATAGTTCTTTCAAATAAACTGTTACTCAAAGAGCCAAGGATTCTCTTTGTTTCTCCATTTAGTGAATGATTTATGTGCTGTAAACAGGAAATCAGAAAATATTACAAAATATTGAATAAAATAATCAAAATTTTAGATTGAGGCCTTTAGTTCAATTAGTAGTTAAAGAAAACTCACGTTTCTTTGATTAGTATCAATAAAGGAGTTAGTACTTTGTTAAAAGGTATTTCCATGTTTCTTCAAATGAATGCATAGAAAACCATTCTACATTGCATAAGACCTTTTCATCTCTGTTTGATGTGGTTGGTTAGTCTTTATGAGTTCATTTAGAAAAAGCAATATTAAAAACAGCTTTAAATTATTCTATTTGTGAAAAGTAAGAGGTAAAGACCAATTTGACTCATTCCAAATTATGGATAATGAAAAGAAGAAACCCAATAGACAAGTACCAACCATCAATTTTTTTTAATGATGCTGTCTAGCAAATACATAGAATTAGAGACATAAGATTTCATTTTGCTATATTTACTACAACTAACTTCTAATATCAGTCCTCTTTCTCTTTATTCCAAGAATTTTATATAACTCCTGAGAAACACTCATTTCTAGATGTGATTCTAACATTCATTAAGCATGGTCACTCATGAGAATTTCATATTTTAAGATGTATTTCTAAAATAGCAATAAACTATAATAAACTAAATATATAATAACCTGAACAAATTGTTAGATACAAATTTAGTTTGTTTGCTTTATTTATGTCATTATGTTAATACTATATAAAGTCTTCCATCTTAAAATAATCATATTACTTGTATGTACATAACACTAGTCCAGAAGGCTCAGATTTGCTAACAAAGGAGGATATTTACATTCTTAATTATACAGGTATATACCCTGTATATGTTTATTCTTTAAGTTACTAAGTATAATCATTTCTAGTATTAGAAATTCAGTGGTTCTCAAACCAGCATTGTATCTTTGTGCAGCATAAAGTGTGGTTGTTACTAGTAAAGGTCATCACATTTTTAATCTTTGTTTAGAAAACTGAATCATACTTTTTTGTCTAAATTTGGACTTAAGGATCAATAGCTACATGTACAACAGAATCTTTTTGGTTGTAAAATTAAGTACATTTTCATTTTTGAATGATTAATGCCAAGAGTTCCTTAACAGAATGAATGTATTTTGAATATGTGCTTGAAAATCTTTTCACTTAATCACTAAAAGCAAATACATTTCTAAAGAACTTTGTTCTATGCCTGTCATCTACTTACCTGTCTATCTTCATAGAACATTTGAAATAAATTTAAAATGTAAGAAAATATACTGTATATATTTTGATTAAGAGGAGATTTGATATAACTGTATTTACCCAAATTAGACAAAATCTTATACTTCTGCCAATATAAGCATATTAAAATTAAAATGAATATAGAATATAGACTCATTAATATTTATAGCAAATGTGTTCATGATCTTATGTCCAAATCTACTAGTTTCTTTATTAAAGGAGACTTGCTCACATTTTGGTTATACATTATGAAAAATATAATTAACATAATATGACTTTCAGTTTGGTATATTCACTACATCAAACTACTATAAAATTACTTTTCTAATTCAAGGTTCTTTAAGTTTACCCAATGCCTTAGAAAAACATGTTTGCAGAACTTATCATAAGGTTTATATAAACACGACCACTCACAAGAATTCAGCAGTATATTTCTAAAATATCAATAATCAGTACGAGGATTCAAACCTCAGGTCTTATAATGCTAAGAAATACTGTACCACAGAGGTAAATATCTTACTTAGATTAAATTTTTAACATTTTTAAATAATAGTGACATATATTTGATGAACTTGCACTGTTCTCTCAATTTCCAAAATTGTATTTTAATGTATTGGCGAGTATTTTATATCAAACAATTTCATGCTATTTTAAAACCAATTCAAACATTACAGTTTGAGGCTATAATATGCTATAATAATATTAAAATCTTAAGCTTATCTCTTTACCAACAATTGTTAAATATTATATGCATCATTTGGTTCCAAAGAATGTATTGCAGGGAACAATGCTTACAGTTTACAGTATAATGTGCCTATCATTTAGGGTTATTTAGCTATAGAAATATAATGGAGAAAGGTGCATTAAGTAGAATTGAAAAATTGCTCACCTAGTTGAGTCTCTTGAATTGTCAGTTTACTTTCCATGGGATACAAAAGTTTAGGTGGCTTATCAGTCAGAGGAGCTGAAAAACAATAAAAATAATAATAAAAAGACTAGAGTTAAGATGCATGAATGAAAGAAAAAACACAGTTAACTTTCCAAAACATTTTTCAAAGTAATGTGTTTCTTTTTCTATGTAGTAACTTCAAGCAAATTGAAATATATATTACAAAAGTAAACCATACTTCATCCAGGTAGGTACTCACATGACACTGTGAGTTACAGAATCAGGATCAGTCAGTCTGGTAGAACTTATGAGCTGTGTTTCTAAATTTGTACTTTGCTTTTTGTTTTGAAGGAGTGCTTTATACTTTATACTTTGTGAAAGATAAGTGAAATATATGTAAAATGTACTATCTTTTTGGGATTGAATGATCTAATTTTTGTTAATGCCATTCTTATTTTTCATATGTCAATTACTTTGCTTCAAAATATATAACTTAGTAATGATTTTATATATGCATGTCCTCTACATGAAGAGGCAATGTGGCATTAAATGTATTTAAGTACAAAAGTTCTCTTCCATTCAAAGCAAATAATTTTAAGTCATGTTTTCCCCTTAGACTAAACACTTTACTATTATTAGCTGTTACATTTTGTGGCATTTGTTGCTAATTTACATGCTATACTGTTTTAAATTTAAGTTTCTACATATTTCATTTCTGTGATCTTGTCAAATTCAATTATTAGCCAATAAATCAAAGACTTTGCTGTTAAAGTACTATGGGGAGATGTTTCCCACTTTATACTTCATTTCTAGCTAAACCAGATTTTCTGGACTATAAACACATAATCAGTTCTTCATGAAGCCTTTCTCCCTAACTTCTTATTGAATTGCCCAAGTCCTTTGAAACCTGTCACTGCCACTTTTACTCTGTAGCTAGTACAGAAATGATCAGTTAAGGGTTGCTGAACTAAATGTTTTTGCTTCAAGTACTTTTTTTTCTTCTTAGCCAGGAACACATGCCAGCTTGGTTGATAACTGTAAGGCTGATCTAGATAGAACAGCTAGGACTTGGCTACGTGTACTTATTACCAGATGATTTAAGAATCCAGGCTGCTGCAGCAGCTTGCTTCCATGTCTCTTTAACAGAAAACAGTTACTGGAAATGAATGATACATACCAACTCAGAAAACAGAGATGTTTTAAGAGTTTTTATTTGAGAAAACAACTTCATACATGATTTTGATTCCTTTTATTCATAACTAATTAAGCATAGTATTTATTCATCCTTATCAGTATTTAGGTTCTGTAAATAAAGAAAACTTGAAAAATAGAATGAAGTAAAATCACTTTAAAATTCCCAAAGGTATGATATTTCTGTGGTAAACTTTACTTTAATTACATGCCTAAAATTATCTTAACATATTTCTCTTACCATCTAAATACTCAGTTTATTCACTCAGTGTTAGAAAAATATGTCAATGAACTAATCACATTTCTTAGACTCTTCTATTAAATGATTACAGTGAACTTAAAATAAAAAATAACTGTGTAATATATATATCGTCCAGAAAATAAAATATGGTAGCTATTCTATTGGTTTTGAATGAGTGAACTTATTAAGTATCAATAGGCCAAAGTAAGAAGAATAGAAGAGATAGGTAGTTAAAGATAGAGCTATTTGTTTTTTTACTTGAAATCTCACCTGAGAGGAATCTGCTCTATACAAGACTCTCTATGTTGGGAAATCCAGCTAAGTATATTAATGGGGCTTCATCACTTAGTTTTGTAGGATGTTTTGAGTACCCAGGTTGATGTTTCACTATCTATTTAACATGTATTTTTATTGTCTTTAATTATTCAAGGGTTTCTACACATGAGTACAAGGTGTCCAAGGAGGCTGGAGGCCTCCTGTAACAAAAAAAGATAATATTGTCAAATAGGAGTCATGCAAGTATCTATCAAAAATCCACTTAAGATGTCCCTCTTAAGGTAGCTACCTGGAGTTCCCAATAGAATCTGGGGCAGAGCAGAATGCTCCCTCATATGAGGTTTCTGAGTAAAAGAAGACAGATAGAGATGACATTATCTATTTGGTGTTCATAAAGTCCAATTGAATGCAACTGGGAAGCTGAGGCAAGATGAAGTTCCCAATAGAACTTTCTCTCCATGGCTGAGTTTCCCAAAGCAGAACACCCATGGCTGAACTTCTGGGTTTTCTTTCCCACTAGAGATAATTTTATTTGATGGAATAACATAGTAACATCTGTTGAAATTTGTTTAACTTCTAGGTATTCTCAAGGACACACTTACTTTACTTCTGTGGGCTGTTTTGCACTCTCTGTTGCTAGGTTGGGGGCAAGGAGACAGCACAAACCTTGACAAGGGGTCATAGAGGACACTTTGAGACAAACATGCCTGGGGTCCATGTGGGAGAAAAGCAACCCTGCTGTCAGAGACAGCTTTTCAGTGATCTTGAGCACCATATGATGATTTACCCAAATAAGTACATTCATATAAATATTAAAATGGTTTGTTCAGTTAGTTCACTCCGTTAATATGTTTCATGACTGTGTAGTTAGCAGTAGATAATTTGACATTTTGCTTGAAAAGCAGTGGAGAAAAATGTTCCTTGTACAAACACATCCCACACTAGTCTGCAATCAGATGGGGAGATCTGAAGAGAAAGAAAATAAAATCCATATGTATCACATGTGCTCAGAAACAGAAAACTGTTTGGTGGTTCGGTTCTCTAACTTAGCCTACCTGCCTCTTGGGCATAATGTTACAACATTGACTTTTCATATTTTGGAGTGTGAAAAAGTCCAACTTGACATAAACTCTTCAAACTTAACTCAGAATCATAAGTTACAGGAATCAGAATTCTGTTTATTACGTATTTGTTCTGTTAAAGCAAATCTAACTCCATTGATTTGCCTAGTGCTCATCTTTTACAAAGCAGGCATTTTGTATTGTGATTTCATGCAGTCATGATCACTCCTAGATTAGCTTTTATTTATCAGTAATTTACTCTTGTTTTTTTTCTATACTGCTTTAGTTACATTAATTTTATAAAGTAATATATCTGGCTGTGATACTTTCAGCCCTCACCCCTTGTATCTTCTTCCCATTCCCTAAATAGTTGCCTTCTATTTTCTGGCAATGTTGTCTAGTTTCTTTTTGTTTGTTTGATAGAATACATGTGATACTCCCTGTATCTGGATAATCTCACCTAATATTATATTTTCCAGATCTATGTATTTTCTTGAAAGTGACATTATTTTATGTCTTTATCCATTGTGCTTCTATAATATTTTCTTTAAAAATTTTTCTATTAATGAGCACCAAGGCCTATTTTATATTGTGGATATTGAAAATAATAATTCCATAATAAAAATAAGATAAGTATATGGCACACCTGATGTAGCTGGACCAAATGACAGCTGTATATTCAGTTCTTTAAACAACATCCAAATTGTTATTTTATAGTGTCTATACTAATTTATGCTCTTATCAATAGAGTATAAAGGTTTATCTTATCCATAGTCTGGTGAGAATATGTTTCTTTTTTATTCATAGCCATTCTGTCATTCTAAGATTTTGACCTAGAAAGTGTGTGTGTGTGTGTGTGTGTGTGTGTGTGTGTGTGTGTGTGTGTTCGCGCGCGCATGTGTATAATTAGTAACCTGCCAAAGACAGTGATTTTTTGGAAATTTGGAGAATTCACTGTAAGTCACATTGATCTGTATTTTACTAATAAAACATCTTGGGACTAATTCAACTCTTGTGTACTGAAGGCCAAGAATCTGAGGTGCAGAGAGGCCCAATGCTTTGACAATGAATACAAAACAATTTCAAACTAGAATTTCAGCAGATCCTTTCCACTCAACACTTTTTAATGTGCCCTTTGAAAAGTCTGTCAGGCAGGCTCCCCTCAAGGTATGTACAATCTGCTAAACAGGGAAAACTTTCAATTAAATCATCACAACACAGAGCAGAGAACTGTTGCAGTGCAATCTGTTATAATCTAAAATTGACAAATTTGGTGTTATGATGGATACCAGTTTCAAGCATTCCTCTTCTGATTTACCTTTCTTTGGTAAACGTGAATCAAAGTTTCCAGATAGCACAACAGTTCAGCAGCTGATCTGACCCCATTGTAAAATAACTGTGACTAGGAGGTGGTCACTAAGGTTAGGATGCACTTTAATTTCCCAGTATTTTGAGTCTTACAAAATTCATTTTTACAAATGAAGAACATTCACCAAATGGCACATTATTTGAATGTTTTTGCCACATTATGATGCTTAATGCATATCAGTTTAATTGAATTTAATTGGCAAATGACAGAAGTCGGGAGATGACTGGAGTTCTAATGACCAGCAAAAATAAACTCCTAGACAAACATTTATTCTCTGTATTTGCAAAGGTAGAATTTGATCTAGCTCTGAAAACAATTACTCACAATGAAAAACAGAAGTAATATTTTACTGTCGGGGCAGCCCTGCTTATCCACTAAAGGCCTAAAATCAGCCATAGGTCTAAAATCAGCAATAGGCCTGTCATACATGTATACTAACACCAAGTCTTGGGTCTCTGTGGAAAAACACTGAAACAGATAGCTGGGAGTTATTGTAAACAGACAGCTTTGGTGGAAGACTGCCAAGCCTAGTTATAAGGCCTTGTAGATGGGTAATCTTGGTGGATAGTACCGACTTAGATAAAGACACGTGAATCATAGATGGAGTCATAGTGGTCTGTCCCCTGAACCTTCACCCAGATGACACTCTGTTCTGGAAGATAACTGTACTCCCCCTGAACATCTAGGCTCCTATGCCATCCCTTTCCCCACATCCTGCCTTTTTGTGTATATAACCTGTGTGTGCAAAAGTAAAAATTATGATCTGATCAGATTATAGACAGGTCGTCATTCCTTTCATCTTTGCCTGCTTCCCCCCTGCTCTCTTTCAGGTAACTTCCCCAGACCCCTGTTTAATGTCCTGCTGGACAGGACATTTTACTCTCAAGAAAATAACATATCTGGGGGACACTTTTCTTTTCTGTACATATATAAAAAC